GCTGTCGGGAGCGTGGGGGTTCTTGTCGCCATGTGCGCTCTTGTGCCGTTGGTTCTCTCTGGTCCTGCTGTTCTTGCCCTTGTTCTTGCTCTTGTTCCTGTTCTTGTTCTTGCTCTGCTTCTTGTTGCTCTTCTTGGTGCTGGTGCTTGACGTGCCTGTTGCGGATGAGGCGTTCGCGGCGTCCGGTGGTGCATCGTGGCTGCTGTGTGGGTTGAACTGCACCTCGTCCGTGGACACAATGTCGCTGGACAGGGCGGGCAGCGCCGTGGCAGACAGGCACGCACCAATGAGGGCGCGATCGCTGTCGTCAAACTCGTCGTTGTCGAGGAGGAGGGAGCTGTGACGGGCGCTTAAGGGCGCACCAGCGTCCACACTGTCCACTTGCCTTGCCAGCCCATCCACACGGCCTTGGACGTCCTCGTCGTCGCTGATGCCGTTGTGGTCGGTGTTGTCATGGTGGGTTCCTGCTGCGGCGTTTGGTGGTGGTGGTGGTGGTTGTGGCTGTTGTAGTTGTTGTGACAATTTGGCAACATCGGCAGCAACAACCGCGAACCCCTTTTCTTGCTGTTTTTGGTGGAGGGGTGTTTCCGCACCTTGCAGCCGAACGCTATTGCTGCTTCCTGTCCTGCTGCCCGTGCTGGTGGAAGGGGGCGAAGGCCCTCCGTCGCTGCTGCTGCTACCGCTACCGCTCTGGCTGCTTGCTGCGCGACTGCTGCAGGTGTCGTTGGTGTTATTGCTGCTGTTGCTGGCACTGAAACCGGCTTTCATGACTGCAGAGCGCTGAGGAGGAGGAGGAGGGGTTGAACCTTTCGCTTCAGCGAGGGGGCCTTGAGGTTCCATGGTGACGGCGGCTGAGGTGATGACGGCACGAAGATGTTGTTGTTGATGTTGATGATACACGCGTTGTGATTGAGGAGCTGTGCTATCATTCTCAGCAAACCGCGGCTCAGCGAAAGATGGTGCTTCTTGCTGTTGATCTCGCTCGTGCTGCCACTGCTGCCGCTGGTCCTGCTGCTGGTCCTGCTGCTGCTGCACTCTGTTGTTGTCGTCCATTCACGTTGGTGGTGTTGATGGCGATGAGGTGGGTGGTGATGATGGCTTGGATGGCTTGGCGTTTGCGATGTGTCTTCTTGTCTTGGCGTCGACGACAGGGCGACAGGCAAAGGCGTGGTGAGAGGCGAATGTCCCGGTGCGAGGGGTGTGTGGGCGTTGCGCGGCGAGTCGATGGGTTGCGAGGGTGGGACGTGGCGAAGGTGTAAATGGGACCATCCGGTGCACCGTTGCCTCACCGATTGGGTGGGATGCACATCGGAGAACATCGGTGCACATCGGTGCACATCGGAATACATCGGAATACATCGGAATACATCGGTGTACCGAACCATACGCAGTTCAAAGTTCCGAAATGAATGTTGGGAGGAAACGGGTTGCATGCATGCAAAACAAACAAAGAAACAAGGTTGAAGCGTGATGAAGAGGAAGACAGAGAGGGAAGAGCAGTGCTCTCCTGTGCTCTCCTGTGCTCTCCTGTGCTCTTGGTTCGGCTTCATGCCTTTCATGGACACCGTGAACACCCCTTTGCCACAACAGCGCTCATGCACCCTCACACACACACACACACACATATTCTCACACACGCACACACAACGCACACACACACGAACACACGCACACACACACGCACACGCACGCGCACTGGATCGGATGTAAAGATGCAGAATGGTTGTTGACGTCGTGTGCAACGAGCAGCGGCACTGGACAACGAGGTCGCAACGGAGTGGCAAGCTGGGCAACCGGTTGTGTTGCTGAGGAGCGGATGCAAAACGCGCTCGCTGTCATGTGCACGAGCACATTGGCGGGGTCGGGACCGCGGTGGCATCCCATGCACTTCCCCGGAGTGCGTGCTGTGACTTTTTTCTCACTCCTCCGTGCCATTCTGCGATGACGTGAGTTCGGAATGCAAAACGCAAGTCATGCCAGTCCCTTTGGGCAAACAAGACACGAGCAAGACGAAGAACAGAACAGAACAGCACAGAACTGCTGTTGTGTGTTGTGTATGTGTGTGTGTGTGTGGTGTTATGTGTGTGTGTGTGTGTGTGTGTGTGTGTGTGTGTGTGTGAACCCTGCTGTGTCTGCTTTGTGGGTGCTGCACCAGACACACACACACACACACACACACCCATACGCACACACGCAGTGAGGTGTTCGGGGTGCCTTGCTCTCGCCTTTGGCCTTGTGACGTCGGTTGGAACGTTGTGGCTGGGATGATCGGCTGGTTGCGGGGCATGTTGCAAGAAACGATTTGTGTGTGAGGTATGTGCACGTGCGAAACGGTGGAGACGTGACGATGGCGGGTCATTCCACCTTTATCGTGTCCTCACGTTTCCCAGCAATATCTTCCACAAAATTTGCGCTTCGATCTTCAAGGACGTCAGTGTTTGCCCCAACGCGCCATGAGAAAGCATGACGTGTGACGCGAGAGTGCGCAGTTTTTCTTGCAGCTCCAAGGCAGGCAAGTCAACCACGCACACACACTGCCAAGCGAAAAACCTTCCCCCTCTCGTTGTTGAGGGAATGCGCTGTTGTTTGTTGATTGCTTTCCACCATAACCCAACCAGCTGCACTCTCGCCACTGTCCTCCTCCTCGTTCACCTTGCTTGCTTGCTTGCTTTCTTTCTTGTGTGCTTGTGTACTTGCGTGGGGGGTCAACAGCCAGCAGCAGAACAGAGGAAGAAGCCGCGCGCACACAGACAGGAAGGAGGAGGTGGGGCTGTGGTGATGCACCCATTCGCCCACCATTTTTTCCATTGCCACCCCCATCAAACACAACCCTGTGCCGTGCCAACCCTCTCTTCCCTCTCCTCATCTTCCTCCGCCGGGGCGATTCGCCTTGTTGATGTTGGTGTTGGTGTTCCATCTGCTCTTCTTTGCCTTGTTTTGTTGTTGAGGTGTCCTGTTGAGTGAGGTGTGCATCCTTCCGGCTGCATACACAAGACCGACAGCCCTTTCTTTTCGCAAGAAGGTGAGCAGCTCGCTCTCATATGTGTGTGTGTGTGTGTTGTGTGTGCGTTTGCATGTGACTGTGTGTATGTTTGCATGTGCATGTGTGTGATTGTGTGTGTGTGTGTGTGTGGAAAGCCTTGCTCCCTCCCTTGCTCCCTGCCACTGTGCTTGCTGCCACCGTCCCCTCCGACATCATCATCCCTTGTTTTTGTTGGGACAGTCGCGCCTTACTGATGAGCCACCGCTGTTGCGACTCATTCACATTCGCTGTTTTTCGCACTGCCGCTTTCTTGCGTTTCTTTTCGTGACCATCGTCCGTGCGTGCGCGCGTGTGTGTGTGTGTGTGTGTCGGGGTGTGCTTGCGCGTGTGCCTGTGCTTGTTGTGGGCTGTGGCTGTTGGCTTGTGATTGCTGTTTGGGTCGTCGGTTGTTGTTGTTGTTCGGTTTGGTTTGGTTTGGCGTGGCTTGGTTTTGCTGGCTGTTGTGTGTGTGCTTTTCTGGGCTTTGTGGCAGTGTGTTCATCATCATCATCATCACAGCAACGCCAATCGTCCACGCAACGCAAGCCATCAATCCAGGCTGCGCAAAACCACTGGACTCGTGGACTTACGCTTCTCTTCTCCTCGTCTGCTGTTGTCTCCTCCTCTCCCCTCTTCTCCTCCTCTTCTTCTCCTTTCTTCTTCGCCTCTGTTTGGTCGCTCGTGCATATGGTTTGACAGCGCAGTGGCCAATTTCAGGCACACCCTGCGCAGCAGCCGAGACCGAAAGGGGGGAAAACACGACCAACCAACCAATCGGGCAGGCACAGGCAGTGAGTTGGTGTGTGTGTGTGTGTGTGTGTGTGTGTGTGTGTGTGTGTGTGTGTGTGTGTGTGTGTTTGTTTGAACAGTGAAACGGTTTCCACCTGCACACACACACACACACTCACTACACTCGCAAACACACTCACTACACTCGCAAACACACTCACTGCGCACTCTAACACCCTCACTGCACACTCTAACACCCTCACGTACTCACACAAACACATGTGTACACTACACCAACCCCGTCTGCCTTTTCCACGTCACCTCTTGCCTGCAGGCAACAATCGCGCCTCCACTGTGCCGCTTCCCTGCTGAGCATCGCACCACCTGTCAACCAGTCAAACGGCTGTCGCGGCGCGCGCGAGAGAGTTGCGCCAACAGCACCCCGTACCCACAAGCCATCACAGAACCGACAGTGATTTAGGCCACCACAACAACAGCCTTCACACACACACATACTTACGCGCACACTTAGGAACGCGCACACACGCACACACACACACAAACACACACATCTACACGCGCGCGCGCACACACACAAACACAAACACACACACACACACACACACACACACACACCTACACACACACACCTACACACACACATCTGTCGACAACAGCAGCACGGCCAAACATCCGCGCGACGCGCAGTGCTGGCTTTACCGTGGACCTATGTCATGCGGCGGGGCAGCGTTGGCCCTGCTGACACTGCAAGCGACGACTCGCAATCGCCAGCCACAAAGAAGCCCCACGTCCAGCTTCACCCCACTGCACAACACCACCATCAACCACAGCAGCAGCAGCAACACCAGCAACACCAGCACCACGGGCCGCCATCCGCGCGGCTCCACTCTGCATCTTCAACAACATCACGCACTACCCCGTACTTCAGCCCGCCGCGCCACGCCGAGGGCGAGCAGCACCGCCTGCAGCAACAGCTGCCGTCCCCTCTGCTTCCCTCGCCAACCGCACAAATCGCCAACATGGCCATCGCTTCAGATCTGACACAGGCCCACAACGAGGCGGGCCAACACCACCACCAACACCATCAACAGCCCCAACACCAGCACAGCCACCACCACCAGCAGCAACAGTTCTTCCCTCAAGGTCCTCATCAGCAACAGGTTGAAGAACACCACCACCACCACCATCATGAGCCACACCAACTCGAACAAGAACAACAACAACAACAACAACAACAACAACAACAACAACAACAACAACGACTACGACACGGCATGGGAGAGGAGGAGGAGGAGGGGGCCCATGTGCATCACGACAGCAGGCAGCGATCGCCGTCACTCGCCAGCAGCCGGCTACAACACCACCTGCAAGACCAGCGTCCGGAGGAGCACGCTGCACAGCTGACAAAGGCGAAAGATGACCCACAGCGAGCACAGCAACAGCACGCAACGAATGAGGATGATGATGATGATGATGATGGGGGCGAGTCAGGTGCGCAAGACCAACGACAGATTATCCCGCACTCCCTGCAGCAGCTGCTTGGCTACGGTGCATCGCCATCGGCAGCATCATCCGCCAGGCACACGCCGTCCACACAGACGGCGTGGTCCCACGGCGAGCATCGACTCAGCACGGACAGCAGAGGCAGCAGCGCCATCCATCATCAGCATGACCAGCACGAGCTGCTGCTCCAGCAGCATCCCGAAGCCACCAGCCACGAGGCGCAAGCCCTACTGAAAGTCTTGTTTCAGCAGCAACAATACCAGCAACAGCGGTACTCGCGCCAACAAGAAAGGCAGGCGCTGTACTCCCCCCAGCAGCAACAGCCGCAACATCATCAACAACAACGCCATCAAGAGCAGCACGGTCAGCCGCACTTGATATCGGCCGCCCAACGGGCGCAGCCCACGGGCGCAGGGGAGCTCGACAACCTGGACGTGGCTGCGTTGGCGAACGCCCTGCTGCTGGGTACTGGGCATGCGCAGCCATCACCAAACCCAGAGCTACAACACCACCAGCAGCAGCACCCGCAGGAAGGCAGCGAACAGTACCAGCTGGGTGAAGAGCAGCAACAACAGCGGCCTCGACGACCTGTCCCGCCCCCACCAGTTATGGATCCCAGTGCGTCGCTGTCACAGGGTCACCACGAGCGAACAGCGGCAGGGGCGTGGATGCGCATGCTGGGCGGCCCACAGCCGCAGCAGCAGAACATGCACGACATGCTCGCTGCTCTCGTGCAACAACAACAACAACAACAACAACAACAACAACAACAACAACAACAACAACAACAACAACAACAACATCCAATGTTGACGCCCACAGCACAGGCGAGGAGAAGAGTGTCGTCGAGTCTCCAACAGCCTCAGCCAGCGCTTGAAACAAGCAGTGAGCACACGAGTCCAGGGTCATCAGAAGTGCAGTCCTTCTTTGTCGCTCAACAAAAAGCAGCATTACAACAACAACTGCAGCAGCAGCAGCAGCAGCCAGCACAGCCTGCGTCAGGGCTGGAGTTGACGGGTGCTGGTGACATGAGCTCCCTACCATACAAAGGCCATCATTTGCAGCAGCGGCAACAACGGCAGCAACGGCAGCCGCTCATGTTCAGCCCAGCGTCGCGCACGCCAATGTCGCCGCAACTCGCGGCACCGTCGCCAGCACTTCTCCCATTTGCGGCTTCTTCAGTCTCAGCCATGCGCGAGCCGGTTGCACGTGCCCCTGCCCAACCGGGCCTGAGTCAGGCCACACTGACGCCACTGCCGTTTAATCCTCCTGCACCCGCACCCCAACAGCAGCATCAACATCAACAGCAGCAGCAGCAGCAGTCGCCGTGGGTGTCGTCGTTGCTCTCAATGATGAGCGCTTCCCAGTCACTGCAGCAGCAGACGCAGCAGCACCAGATGCTACAGGAGGAGCACCGCCAGCAGCGGCGAAAGCACCAGGGCCGCATCAAGAGCAAACGCTATCGCGAGCGGAAGAAGGCGCTCCTCACCACCTTGGAACACGAGGCCAAGCAGTTGCACCAGCAATGTCACCACACGCTTGCACTCCTCGTCTCTCGTGGGCTCGACGTCAACTCAATCATTCAGGTGTGTGTGTGTGTGCGTTTTTTTGCTGTGTTTTGTGTGTGATGTGTGTGTGTGTGTGTTGTGCCCATCATGTCTTCCTTTCTTCTTGATCCCCCCCCCCCTTCCATCTGCTCACTTCTGAATGGTTGTCCATTGCTGTACATGTGTTTGTGTGTTCGTGCGTGCAGACATTCCCGACCCAGCTTGGGCAGCGCGAGTTTCGCGTGCCTTATGTTCGGCAATCGTACTCTGACGAACATTTCCAAGCTGTAAGCCCTCTCGCCACATTGCTTTGCCATGGCCTTGAAGTGCTTGCATGCATGCAAGCGGGTTCAATGCACGTGTTGTTATGCCTGCGGCGGACTTGCTCGGCCATTGCGTCGCTAACGACAGCATCACTCATCCCCGATCATTGTGCAGGATTGTACACGCGAAGGGCTGGCGTTTGCAAATGAGGAGGAGGCTCGCCATGAGAAAAGCAAGAGGACTTCTCGCTTCTATCGCGCAGAAAAACGGCGTGAAGAGAAAGGTGGGATGTTTGTCTGTGTTTGTTTGTGTGCTTATATTTGTGTGGAGGGTTCTTTTGGGTATGTGTGTATATGCGTGTGGAGGTTTCTTTTGTGTGTGTGTGTGTGTGTGTGTGTGTGTGTGTGTGTGGAGGGTTCTTTTGGGCATGTGTGTGTGTGTGTTGAGGTTTCTTTTGGGCATGTGTGTGTGTGTTGAGGGTTCTTTTGGGCATATGTGTGTGTGTGTGTATGTGTGGAGGGGTCTTTTGGGTGGTGCTGCTCGTTTGTCAGCACGCCTTGTGCGTGTGCCTCGCTTGTTTTGTCCTTGTTCACATGAGCTGTGTTCTCACGTGTGCTCCGCTGTTGCTGTTGGGTCTTCTGTCCCGTGTGGCGCTGCGCGTGCGCGATGCTCTGCTCCGAATTCTTCTGTTGGTGCAGCCTGGAACGAACATGTTGCCGGATATCGGAGGTGCCTGTCCCATCTCGAGGATTTCTACACCGCCTTTGGCACAATGCAGCCACCACCACACCACCAGCAGCAGCAGCAGCATCAACAGCAACGACAACAACAACGACACCACTCTTCGTCTTCCTCCATGGTTCGTGAACCCACTGGTCGCGCAAGTGGGAGAGCGTGCAACATGTATTTCACACACGCACGCTCTAAACGATCATCTCATGCACATCATACTAACAACACGCGCGCTGCTGTACACGTTCCACAAACACTTACACACTTACACACACACACACACACACACACACACACACACACACACACACACACACACACACACACACACACACACACACCCTGTCTTCACCATGACCAGGGGCAAAACTAGCAGCTTGTAGAAGAATCCCTGAATCCCTGAATTCACTGCTCGTGATTGACCCCCAACGCCTCGTCCTATTCGTCGTCATCATCGTGTTTTGCCGCCTGCTGGCGACTGGAGGCTGTTGTTGAAGCAGACCATACCTCCGCCGTTGGCAGGCTGAATTGAAATGAAAGTTTCACCCACGAAGACCCCAACCGCCACACAAGCCATAGAAGTCAGGCAGCAATCTAGACACTCTCGTGTTTCTTCACCGTCATCCCCATCGACAACAAAGCAAGTACTCTACTGCGACATATCCCTTCTTTGATGCCCAGCTACCATTGTCAGGTGTTTGTCGCCCCTTCACTGCCAATAGACGCCCTGTTGACCGTCCCCACGTTCGCCTCCATTGTCGTTCAGCAATGTGTGTTCCGTCTGTTCGTCAACTTTTCCCTACTTTTGCAACTCAATCGCATGTCAGCGCTGGCAAGCAACATTCTTGCCCACGTTCCTCATCTTGGTCTTGTTTCGAAGAGGGGAGGCTGGAGCGCCTGCTGGGCACGTGCATCTGTGCACATACTCGCCTTGTGCAGAAGGGGTCGCCTCCAAGCAGCCACGCGCCCCAGCGCCTTCCCCAATCACCTCCATCTCCCTCTTCACATCCCCACATGTTTGCTGTACATACAGTTTCTCAGTTCTCAGCTGCCTTGTTCCGATCCAGTGATCGCCCAGAGACAATACACCAGTTCACTATCGTGATTCGTGTTCGAGGAAGTGCATGAGAGCAGCGCTGCGGCGCAGAAGGGGCGAAGGCGGCTTGTGACGACGGAGAGGACAGAGAGTGTATCTGTCTGCTTGTGTAGTGTGCTTGTGCGACTGTGATACTGTGATGGAGTGTGTTGATGAGCAAGATGTTGAACAGCAGTGCAGATGCTCGTCACAAGGCGAAGAAGCAACAGGGAGTTGCGAGACGGCTTTGGTGGTGTAGGCGTGGGGCTTTCCCTTCCGCTTCTCGGCTTCTCTCGGCTTCTCTCGTTGCTTGCTTAGTTGCCTTGACCCACTCCAGCCTCTGAGCGTGCCTACCTGGCTGGACTGGGACAAAGACAAAGGAAGAAGTCAAGCAAAGTGCATTTGCAAGCTGCATGCGGTCATGTGTTGGGTGGATGAGCAGGCAGCCCTCTTCCTTCTTGCTGCCGTTGGTGTGTGCCTGTGCAGGAGTGCTTGTGCAGGAGAGCAAAGAAGAAAGAACTAACATAAAGAACGAGACGAAAGCGTTGGAGCAGGAGCGTTTCTCATGTCCTTCTTGGGTTGCGGAGCTTTGCTGCTGGTTGCTGTGGGCGGTGCGGTTGTAGAAATTTGGAGCAAAGTTTCCAACAGTTATCGACAAGCGGATGAGTCAGCAACAGCGACGAAAGCAAGGAAGGAAGGACGACAACCAACCAGACAACCGCGACGATGGACGTGCCAGACGCCGCCAAAGACGTGAAGGTGTGTGTGCATGTGTGTGTGTGTGTGCATGTGTGTGTGTGTGTGCATGTGTGTGTGCATGTGTGTGTGTGTGTGTGTGGAAGAGAGAGTGAGAGAGTATGTATTTGTGAGCGTTCGTTGACGTTTGTTGACGTTCGTTGTCGTTTGTTGACGTTCGTTGTCGTTCGTTGTCGTTCGTTGTCGTCTCCACCGTTCGTTGACGTCTCCACTTGTCTGCGTCTGTGTGTCGCACATGGTGTAGCGCTTCATCAAGACGGGTGAGGCCCTTCAAGCGCAAGCGCCGTACGCCACGTTTTGGTGTAAGTCCGTGGCAGCATGTTCATGTGATTGATTGTGTAGGTGTGCATG